CTTCCCTTTCTTGATTTTCATATGTGTGTGTCACTTCATCAGTTTCGTCTGTCCCCAGCCCAGGAGAGAGGGGTGAGCTGCTAGTTGGGGGAAAGAGAGGTAGAGATGGAGGGGAGGGGCTGACCGGCGGCAGCGAGGTAGTCTCCGCGCACTGATTTCCTGAAAAAAATTCAGCCGGTTTGGATCTGTTAGTTGACACGGTTGAGGTCTGTGTTGGGTGTGGTTTGTGTGGAGAGCAGGGGTTTCAGGAAATCGGTAGGGAGCTGTTCTGTACACGGTCTGCTTGCATGTAGGGTAGCCAGCTCTGTGTGTTCTCATCGATTTAAGTCAAGTGCTATGCTAGAATTGGACATGTTTGTATGCTTTTCTGAACTTAAACCGTAACCAGATGCTTAAGGTGGTCAGGTTTCCCAACCTAGTTTTCTTGATGTGGTCAGGCTTTTAAAAAAGCATTTGGGGTATTAGTTAGTTGAGCTCTAGCTTTTTCAGAAGACCACTACCGGTGAATGGTTACAGAATTTTGCATGTCATTATACACTACTTTTTTTTTCTTTGATACCACTGTTTGTGCTACTAAAATCTATATTTCCTCTTAGGATAGCAAAATTTGCATGTATATACTTATATTTGCTTTTGCTGAGTGATGCTGTGTTTACGAGAGCATGTCATAACAAAATTTGTGTTTGAGGTCAGAATTATATCTTCGTGTGATATTCTCTGTCATCCACTTCTTCATTGTGTTGCACAGATCCATATCTGCTTTTCTGCCTATTCTTCATAAATTTTATTTTAGACAATCATGGAGGCCCTCACCCGCTCCATTTATATAAATGAAACCAACTTCGCACATAACAATCTTCTCTTCATAAAATGTACTCCCTCTGTAAACTAATATAAGATTGTTTAGATCACTAAAGATCACTAAAGCAGTAATCTAAATGATATTATATTAGTTTACAGATGGAGTATTAGATTACCAATCAATGAGGCAAGCTACCTCTGGCTCTACAACCTTTTTCTCTTCCGAATTTCTGTAGCTATTTTGTTACCCCTAATTATCTATACTGATTCATAGCTAAAGTGAGTGGTTAGTTTTGTACTAACATGACAGCCCATCAGTATTTCTTGCCAGTCTTCAGTTTACATTTTAGCCCCATGGTATGTATCTTTTTTCTTCAGTTTGTCTATTTTTCTCAGTTTGTTATCAGTCTTTTTCAGTCAATCTTTAGTTTCCTTTTTTAGCTCCCTTGCCTATACAGTTTCTTTTCATTTAGTAAGTGTTCAGTTGTTGAATTTTACTTGTGCATTTGATTTTCAGTCTCATGTTTCATTATTCATTCTTCAGTTAGTGAGATCTTTTTCCCATGGCTCTTGTAGTTAGGACTTAGGACAATGACCTCTTATTTTCAGAATTTTACGTGTAGCATTATTCAGTTTGTTTTTCTTTTATGCAGTTACTTTTATTTAGTTAATGTTCAGTCCTTTATGCTCATTGTTCATTAAGTCAACATATCTATGGAATTTTTCTAATTTTCTATATTCAGTTTTAATTTAGTTTCCCTTATCTTCTTCAGTACTCCCTCCGTCCCGAAAAGCTTGTCTTAGATTTATCTAGATATGGATGCATCTACTATACACTCCCTCTGTCCCATGATGTAAGACGCTTTTTGGGACGGAGGTAATATATCAGTTAATCTTCAGTTTTCAGGCTATAAACAAGAGTGCCATCACTCACTTTATTTCTTCTTTACTTAGTTCTCTTCAGTTTGCTCATTCTTGTTTAGTATTTCTCTCAGCCCCTTATTTCCTCTTCAGCCAATTTGTCTATTTTTTTGTTCTTTCATTCACTCAGTTTTAGATTTTCAGTGCACAGATACAAGGCTATGTTTTTGCCTTTTGGAGCAGAAGAACCCCACATGCTTTTATCTCATTTTTTTCTCCTTTCCCCAGGCTAGGGGTATCATCCAACCTTTCTCTGAAAGATTAAAATAATCTAACTAATTTCACTCTGTAGAATTTTTTTCAGACTCTAGGTTTTGGAAGGGTAGGTAGCTCTGGTTGTATTATGTTGATGCATGCCTCTAATTTAAACATGAGTGGTGTATCTAATTTAAAAATGGTTCTGGCTGTCCATTTTGTCAGTTTTTTTATTCTGTCTTTGGTTGGGTATCATTTCTTCTTCAGTATTTCATTCTTCTTCAGTATTCAGTCCTCCATTTTTTTCCTGAGTATTCTTTTGTATGTCTATGGGATAGAATGCAACAAGTAGTCATACGAGACTATCTTTGGTTTGATTTACTTTTTTCAGTTTATCCTTGTTACTGTTAAGTTTGCGGTGCTTCAATTTCTACGGTTTAGCCTTTAACTTTAGTTAGTTCAGTTCTCTCAGTCGTGTTTTGTCGTCTATCTGATGAGATTATCATCATCAGCTTTGGTTGGTTCAGTTATCATTTATTTTTTCAGTTATTCATTATTCCTTAGTATTACATTTTTTCCCATTCTTTGAGCTTACATCATTGTTCGATCTCTCAGTCTCCACAGTTTTCTTCAGTACAATTTTCAGTACTTATCATCTACGTACCATTTTTCCAGTTTCTGCTGTCTTCAATCTCGCAAGTTTCTTCTTCATTTTGTTTCTTCATTATATATTTCTTCAATCTAGTTTTCAAGTCTTCCCTTGTCACTTTTCATTCTAATCCTTCTGTTTTGGGTCTCGCTATTTTCTGTCCTTTTTCATTGTCTTTCGCCATTCTTCCCTTGTCAATCCGTGCTGGTGTCGTATGGACTTTGTGCAGAGAAACAAGTGAGCAACACCCTCTGTTTTATCTCGTCTACAACATTTTTTTCATTTATTTAGATGCCTTATTTAGTTCTGCTCTTATGTTGATTACCATTTAACTTCTAACTGGTTTGGTGTCTGCAGAAAATCGACAGGTACATTGCTTTTGAGCTCAACACCCGAGGGTGGTTGCATTGGCGATGGGTGACGGGCACAACACAAATTCAGGCATATGACGCTACACCAATGTATTACCGTTTTAAGGCTAACCTCAAGACAGGAATAGCGGTGCTCTTTAGTACTCCCTCTGTCCCAAAATAACTGTCTCAAATCTTAGTATAAATGTGTATTAAAGTTAGTACAAAGTTGAGACACTTATTTTGGGACGGAGGGAGTATTCATCTAAGCATGATGGTTGTACTGTCGAATTCCATGTCTTCAGTTTAGTCGGTTTGGGACATCAAGTTATTATTCAATGAGTTATGTGTCACCAGTTACTTTGCGTGGGACACCATTTTTTGTGTTTCATGAATATGTGTACATTTTGTATAAGTTGTCAAATAGACCAAGACAGCCATTTGTGAACGGATATACATGATGCACTGGGTTTTGGTCAAATTTATATTTTTTATTTGGGACTTGCTGTCCATCGGAAGAAAGCAAAACATTTTATAGTATTTGAGAAAGCAAGACATTTTTTTTAATAAGTGTAGAGATGTCCTGTATGATTTTTTCCATGAAGACACTAGGACCAGTCAAAAAAGAATCAGCTTGTAATGACGAAAAGGGCAGACCAAACCCAAAACCCTTTCGGGTTGAAAAGATCCTTTATTTTTTGATGAGTTGTTTCGGATTGAAAAGATCCGTTAGTGTCTCCCCTCCACTGGGCTAGTAGAGTGGTAAATAAATCGAATAAGGCTTGAACTACACATGGCTGAATCTGACGGGACAAAATTTTGACCGAGACTAAAGTCAAATTCAGTCGATTGATTAAATAGCTAGTCCCTATTTTATTAATTCGTTCGTAGAAACTTAGCCACAAAAGTAGGCAACAAACACTTAAATAGGCAAAAACAAGTGGAGCGAATGAGATTATCATAATCCATCATTACTGAACGTAGCCTTGGTCTTTTCTGTGGCAAATCACGCTTTGCTGATTTTCCAACAAGCTTGAGATGGGAAACCTGCAAGATCACGGGGTGCTTGCAAACTCGGTTTGATATCCCCTGGTTTCTGTTACATAAGTTTGTTGCATAAATAAAAACGTAAGCCGTCTTAGCTCAGTTGGTAGAGCGCATGGCTTTTAACCATGTGGTCGTGGGTTCGAGTCCCACAGACGGCGAATGATTTTTTCTGTGCATTTTGGTTAAGGCGTTCTTATTTTCTTTTGTGCTTTTGTTACATTACACATATACACATTTTAAAGTGACGAAAACGTTTTATATTAATGAACAGGTAGTACAAACGTGTTGCATTTTGATTCATCTTATGAAATCAGATGTGTCCAAGTTTAATTACTACTCTCTCCGTGTCTTTTTAGTTTGCATATGATCAAATTCAAGCTTTGTAAAGCTTGACTAATTTTATACTTCCTTCGTCCGAAATTACTTGTTTTAGAAATTGATAAAATGAATGTATCTATAACTAAAATAAGTCTAAGTACAATCATTTCTAGGACAAGTATTTTTGGATGGAGAGAGTAGTAAAAACCACCAACATTCACAATATGAAATCAAATCTCATCAGATGCTTCATGAAATGTATTTTCATACTATATAATTTTAGTATTGTATATGCTCATTTTTCTATATAAATTTGGTCAAATTTTGCGTAATTTGACTTTAAACAGATATTATATACGGAGTGAAAAGAAACGGAGGGAGTACTTGCACCACGATCCTGTTCGTCTTGTGAGATCAAATGTGTTCTGTGTTCAAGATCAATTTTTGCTAGGGGAATTGTGATGGGATTTGCCTGCCGAAGACCACAACGGTAGCTTCCTCTCGTTTGCTCTTCTAGTCTTAGACGGCCAGTGCAAATTTCCTTCAAACTTCACTGGTGAGTTCGTGAATTCGTCCTCTCTCTATCTGTTATGCTGGCGGTCGGTGATAGGGAGGAGAATCCCGGTGCCTCTGTTTTGGTTAATAGTTTAGGTTATGTCATTTTAGTCCTTGTGGGTGTGGTGCTCGAGCAGATGACGTCGCTTCTTATTCTAATTTGTCTTTCGAGGTTGATCCTCCTTGAATTCTCCGTTTCGACTTAGTTAATGGAGCTTTGACGTAGATTCGCGTTGTCTTCTTGGGACGGTGAGGTTAAGGTTTCTCGTCATATAGCGAGATCTGGTGGCAGATGCTTCAAATCTATGCAAGGGTTCAAATGCGATGGCTGCGGCTTCAGGGCGCTGGTCCTTAGGGACATGTGCACGAAGACTTTTGCCATCGACAAGGGTCAAGCCGGCTCCGATAAAGAAACAACGACAGTGATGCGTTGATGACTCATTCTGGCAGCAGTAGTGGTTGTTTGCTGTTCTCGAAATCTGAATGCATTTTTATTATATTTAAGATGCTTTATACTCCCGATGAATTTTTATAATAGATACAACCTTTCCAAATAAATGTGTTCAAGCTTAATTAGAACTTGCAGCACAACCAGATAGTTTTTCTGAAAACTTTCATGGCAATTCTCTCAAATAATAAATGCCCCTATATATATGCGCACATCAAATTGCACATGCCCTTTTCTCGTCGGCGGAGAACGACCACCAGTGAGCGTTGTCGCCCTAACAGACCCGCTTCGCCCGCGCCTTGGTCAAGCCTGTCATCGCGACCTCCACCGCCGGACCCACCACCACACCGCACCACCACTAGCATCTGAAGCCATCGAAGATGGCCAGCCAACGCCGCCCATGCCAGACCACAACCCTAAGCACGCTCTGCCCCACAGCACCACTGTCGGCCCTTCCGTACCACGGGCAAGTCCCCGCGCTGCTGCCAACGCTACCCAAGCGTCACACTGCCCTGGACCAGCGTTCCACCACCACACGGGGACGCCGACCCATGCCGAGTTCCACCACGTCAGGGAAAGAGAGGACCCCGCCACCACGAGCACCTATCGGGCTTTGCCTGACAGCGACGAGGGGAAGGAAGAGGGCTAGTTGCCGTCGGCTAGGGTGTGGAGCGACGCAGGTGAAAGAGGAAAGTTTCTTCCTTCCTCTTCATAAGATGAACATCAGTCAAAAGTAGTACATGCTTTGTGTGAAATATATATTCTTTTCATGGTTATATGGATCTCATTTCATTTTAACTTGGGATTGACGGAATCATTAAAGACACCTCGTAGTTGATGGAAACATCTTTTCCACTGAACGAGAAACGCTGGAAATCCTGAAATAAATCCAGGAACAAGTGTGAGCATCAGAATTTGAACCCTAATGCTGGGATACCACTGTCCACCTTAACCATCCAACCACAGATTGGTTATATGAGTCTCATTTATATCATAAAGACAATAGTTCAAGTCACGTACACAGCAGTCTGACAAAACTGAAAAGACAACATAACACTAGTCTTTGCACAAAGGAACACCAACCAAGAAAGAAAATTACAATCAAAACAGAAGAAACCCCTGCGCTTACCAACGCGTGTCACCTACCTCCGACATCACCACATCAGTCACGAAAAATAATAATTCACGGATCACCTCCTCATTCGATCTTGATATGGCTCCATAGCTGATATGCAACTTTGCGGCCCTTTAAGATAGCTCACAAAAGATGAAATCATTACCGTTAAACGAATCAGACCGGTGCAATATCCCAGACACGCTATCAAACTCCATATGTGACTTACTAAGACGCCGAAGGAGTAAATCATACCTGCCAGCCATGAACCACAAACTTGCGTGGAAGTATGTCTTTGACCAACAAATATGCTCATATAATGTGTGGCTGTATATCAGCGTCATACAAGTACAAGTGTACACCAATCGTGGCCTAAGAATCGCAACAAACTAACTGCTCTAGTAGTACAAACTAAGCTACATCCACGACGGCGGCGCCGGTACTGCAAAGCGGATTGGCCTTGAAGCCAACGGCAGGGAACGACTTCTTGACGGGACCGACGCTGAGGGTGACGACCCCGCCGCCAACCTCGACGCCGGTGACGGGGACCCAGACGAACAGCACGCGCACGCGGACGCCCTCGAGCCCCGTGACCGCCCCGGGCGCCACGGACCCGGAGAGCTTGATGTCGTACAGGACGCGGTAGCCCCCGGCCTCGATCTCGCAGCCGTCGTCGAGGAAGAGCTCGAAGGAGCCGTCGGAGTGGAGGAGGTACCGCCGGGCGGTTTTCGGGAGGAGAGCGCGCGGGAGGCCGAACCGATCCATTAGCTCCGGCACGGTGGGAGGGTCGTAGGGCGCCGTCGAGGTGGAGCTAGTGAGGAGGTTCAGGCCGAGGAGGAGCAGGAGGAGCCGGCGGCTGGGGGCTGTGGCCGCCATGTTGACCATTGGGGGCTTGCTTGTTCTTGGTTTCGGCTCTGGGCGTTTGTTGTTTCTCTCTCGACGGATGGATGGGAAAGTGCCACCGGCCAAGGGAGCTCTGTTCTAGTTGGGCTTGGTTTGGGGAGGATAGAATAAAAAGGAGGAATCTTGAGATATTCTTTTAGCTTCAGCCAAGGGTGATAATGCAAACATCGCCATTGCCTTTGCAGAATTTTATAGTCTGTTCGTAATCAGCTAGTGCGTTTTCTACTGCGACATCTGGTTAGATGGTTAGAAGGCAGTGGTATCCCCTGTCCATTCAAGTTCCTGTGTCTGTATTTGTTTTGAATTTATTTTAGAATTTTCGATGATACGCGTTCTGTGGGAGAAAATGTTCCCCTTAACTATGAGACATCTACAGCGGCTTCGTAAAATTTCAAAATAATGTGCCGGCTCATTCCCTCGGATGTGCTCATAGGGGCATGATGTGTGTGTGTGCGCGCGTTCATAGAAGTGAGTATATGTGCGTGTATATAAGCGCTTGTGCCTGTACCGTGTTCAAAAAAGCTAGACTCCTATCGGATGATAAGTGCCACATACGTGACACGAAGCAATTCTGCCCTGATATATTTTGAGGGTCTTTTTTAACTGAGCTAGCTAAGTTTAATATTGTAAAAAAGATATGTTTAATCTTCATGGAATCTACAGCGTTTCCCATCAGAATTTGATCTCATTCAAATAAAATTTTGATCCAATGTATAATAAAATCCGGTCGAAAATCTTAACAAATCGACGCCGTTTACGAGGAAAACCAAACCAAACTACGCGCAAGTAATTAGAATGAAAGAAGGCCAAAAATATAGACGCTCATGAGAAGGCAAGGCTTAACTACTAGACAAAAGGACCATCACCATGAGAGACAAGAGTACACATGGGGTGTTGTTGAAGGATCACAATATTAAAACTTTACAAATAGCCGACATCACTTGCGTGCATACCGAACCCTATGACAACAGGAACATCCACAATCAACGAGTGCCATAGCATGACTGCATGTTCCGTTTAAAGGGGCAAGAATTCGAGATGCAAGCCCAGAGAGTACCATGAACACGAACCTGCTAGCTCTGCCACAGGATATTAGAACGAGCAAGTTGGGAGGCATCTTGTGTCATCATTGAGTAAAGATGAATCGAGACAATACCAAGAGTACGAAGCTCGCTGCAACACAATGACTGCCATGAAAGGGTCTTGAGCAAGCATCACCCGGGATGTCGCACCACACAATGGGCATGGTCGGATGGATGGCAGCAAAGGGTTCAAAAATGGCGCCTTCAGGAAGGTGAGCGATGTCCGTGAACGTCATCATCAATGGGCTTTCATGCAGAAATATACTGAGCAGATCGGGTACATGTCAAGGAACACACCTCTAGGAAGGTAAGCGACATTGGGCCGGTGTTACCGTGGTCAGATGATGCCTGGTTCAGCATGGATTTCTCCCGGAGCAAGAACCAGATCCAGCCCAACGTCGAGGCATTCTGCAGGGCATCTTCGACACATTCTTCTCCAGGGAGGTGATTTGCTACGCATATCGTGACCGCCAACATTTCTGGTCAACATCGTGACTTGATGGTCGTTGATTCTACTAGCTCCTGGGTTTAAACAAGTTTGCACCGCTCAGACAGAAGCCTAGAGGTGGCAACAAGCTTTGTTCATGACATGCCGCTGGTGAATGCAGGAGGAAGAAAACTTCAACACCCAAAGAATTTGGACGTAATTTTTAATTTAGGTTTGATGTTTTTGTAAGGATTTGTACCACTTGATAGATGGCCTTTAGACTTTTCGTGAAAAAAGATTGTGGTTGTTGCTGTCAAGTTTTAATGTGATACAAGTGCGCATGTATAGTCCACTGGCTGATTCTTTTGTTCAACCATAATGCTTACTTGGTTGTGATGGTCTTCATTGTCTGGTCACGCCAACCAGATGAAAATCCTTGTCTAGGCCATCTATGATCGGACATAATTAGGATTGTGTGAAGACGTTTATCTCTTTTTAAAGGCATAACTGTGGAAAAAATCAATTTAGACCGAGGTGTTAATTGTACATACTGTAATGGTTAGGCCGTGGTTGTCTTTTTTGTACTCTACCGAATAATTAATAAAAATGGTTGTATCCATAATTATGATGTGATGCAGAGGCCAGGGTTTTTAGCCTTCATTGCGAAAAAGAAAAGACAAAAGGGAAAATAAACTTTATAAAGCTGGCACCCTCTAATTTATAATTTTACCAATTGGTTGGACATATGTGTGAACAAAAGTTTGCCAGACCTAAATGACATATAAGAAATTTACAATTGCCACGCATGACAAACTAAATCTGCCACATTCTAAAACAAACAAGAAAATTAAACAATAATGTTTGAAACTAAGTTGCCATTGTTTACTAAGATGATGGCAAAAATGTATTGGAAAGAAAAATTATGAAATAGTCTTATGAAAAAAAAATTGTCGTGGATGTTCAAAATAAATTTGCCATGGTGTAAAAAAGAAATTTACAATAGTTTGTTTAATGAATGTGTACAAAAAGGAATTTACCGTAGTTTTTTCAACAAAATATTGCCATGTTCCAGAAATAGTTGACCACATTAAAACATTATGGACCAGGGTTCAAAAATAGATTTCCCATGGTCCAAATATAAATCTACCATGGCAGAGAACGAAAACCAAATATATTTTTTATTATTAAGTAAATTCAATATGGCCCCCAAAAAAGAAATTTGTCATGGCCCATTAAATAAATTTGCCATGGTGCAAAGAAAAAAAATTCGCCATGATCTACAATAAAAACAGAATTTGCCATGCCATCTACTATAAAAATGCCAGGATCCACACAAACAACTTGCCATTGTGCTAAAAAATGATATTAATGGCAAACTATGTGTAAGTTTACCATGATGGCAAATATAGTGTGAATTTGCTATGATGCTCACGAGATACTTGCCATGATGCTAGGAAATGACAATAATGACGAAATGTGTGTAAGTTTGGCAAGGTGGCATGTTTAGTGTAAAAATGGCCATGATGTATCCAAGCTAATTACCGTGATGCTAAAAAGGCATCAAATGCAGTTTTACACACTAATTTCACATGATGAAGAAAATATCATATCAAAAATTGTGTGTAAAGTTGCCATGATTGCATACACACTACTCGCTCGCATCTATATTTTTCTGCTTTTGCTTTGCGACGGTTTGGTTGTCACATCTATTATTCATGTGGTGGCATCTTCATATTTGTTGTCATGGTTACTTAAGAATCATTGTTTCCATGGAAACTCAAAGTATGTTGCCATGTTAATCAAAATCTCACCAATGGCATTATTCCAAAGGCGAGTACTAGGTGTCGGTCGGCCGGCCGAAATTGGGCCGACCATGCGCTAGCCGTTTGATTGGTCTCCCTGAGCCATCAGATGCACCCCCAGTGGATCTTCTTGCCCCCACCCCGATTGGGTCAACGCGTGGGGGCTTGATGGTGATATGTCTCCGTCGTATCTACTTTTCCAAACACTTTTGCCCTTGTTTTGGACTCTAACTTGCATGATTTGAATTGAACTAACTCGGACTGACGCTGTTTTCAGCAGAATTGTTATGGTGTTATTTATGTGTAGACACAAAAGTTTTCGGAATGACCTGAAACTTCACGGAACATCTATTTGGAAATAATAAAAAATCCTTGCAAAATATGAAGACCAGGGCCCCCACCGCCTGTCCACAAGGGTGGGGGGCGTGCCCCCCTACCTTGTGGGCCCCCCTGGAGCTCCTCCAACCTCAACTCCAACTCTATATATTTGTTTCGGGGAGAAAAAAATCAGAGAGAAGGATGTTGGGGAACGTAGTAATTTCAAAAAATTCCTACGCACACGCAAGATCATGGTGATGCATAGCAATGAGAGGGGAGAGTGTTGTCTACGTACCCTCATAGACCGGAAGCGGAAGCGTTATAACAACGCGGTTGATGTAGTCGTACGTCTTCACGGCCCGACCGATCAAGCACCGAAACTACGACACCTCCGAGTTCTAGCACACGTTCAGCTCGATGACGATCCCCGGACTACGATCCAGCAGAATGTCGGGGAAGAGTTCCGTCAACATGATGGTGTGGTGACGATCTTGATGTTCTACTGTCGCAGGGCTTCGCCTAAGCACCACTACAATATTATCGAGGACTATGGTGGAGGGGGGCACCGCACACGGCTAAGAGATCAATGATCAACCGTTGTCTCTCTGGGGTGCCCCCTGCCCCCGCATATAAAGGAGCAAGGGAGGGAGGCGGCCGGCCTAGGAGGAGGGCGCGCCAAGGGGGGGGTCCTACTCCCACCGGGAGTAGGACTCCTCCTTCCCTTGTTGGAGTAGGAGAGAAGGAAAGAGGGGGGAGGAACAAGAAAAAGTGGGCTGCACCCCTTTTCCAATTCGGACCAGAGGGGGGGGGGCGCCTCCTTCCTTTTGGCCTCTCTCCTCTATTCCCGTATGGCCCAATAAGGTCCATATACTCCCCGGCGAATTCCCGTAACTCTCCGGTACTCTGAAAAATACCCGAATCACTCGGAACCTTTCTGATGTCCGAATATAGTCGTCCAATATATCGATCTTTACGTCTCGACCATTTCGAGACTCCTCGTCATGTCCCCGATCTCATCCGGGACTACGAACTCCTTCGGTACATCAAAACTCATAAACTCATAATATAACTGTCATCGAAACCTTAAGCGTGCGGACCCTACAGGTTCGAGAACTATGTAGACATGACCGAGACACGTCTCCGGTCAATAACCAATAGCGGAACCTGGATGCTCATATTGTCTCCCACATATTCTACGAAGATCTTTATCGGTCAGACCGCATAACAACATACGTTGTTCCCTTTTTCATCGGTATGTTACTTGCCCGAGATTCGATCGTCGGTATCTCAATATCTAGTTCAATCTCGTTACCGGCAAGTTTCTTTTACTCGTTCCGTAATACATCATCCCGC